TACTATTTGTGTATATATGTAATATGTTTTTATTTTTTGTTTCAAGTATTACCTACAAAATTAACAGCTACCATGTACACTTTGCCTGGGTAATTTACGAAATATGTATGCATGCATGTGTATATATATGTATATCAATACGTGTGTATATATATGTATATCAATACGTGTGTATATATATGTATATGCATATGTGTATATATATATATATATGTGTATGTATATATAATTTTTGTGTCACAATCTATGTTTTTTCGATAAGTTCGCGAGGAATTCATATGTATATGAAATATGCAGTATATCTATATTATAAATCTATATTTATATGCATGTATGTATATGTATCACTAAAAATATAGATATGTATATATACATATACTTTGAATATAACATATATAATCATAACATAACATATATACATATATATAATTTCAAGTGTGTGTCATGTAGCAGCGTGCACACACACAGTACTACTCTAATGAATAAATCCAAAATTATTTGTCCATGGTAACTGAAATCATCGGATATCAAGCTTTACTTTTTCGCAGTATCTCTTACGAAAATAACTAGTGTCACTCACGGTGGCTAGTCGCTGAAACAGCAGCGTTGTTTGACTGAGGCTTCCCAAGCGCTTGGGTATGCTTCATACTCATCTACATCTCATTGTACCCTTAAACCATATCGCGGCTACGAAATATTTTCGTTTTAATTCAGTGTATCATAGAAGAAAAAAAAAAACATACGAAAATTCAAACCTTGATCAGAGTAACGAAATGCGATACACATTCTCCCTTTCTCCCTCTTATTTTTTTTTACTTTGTTTCTTTGCTCCTTCGAATCACGTGGTGTGCCATAGGAAGCCCTCTGCGTGCCAAGTCTGGCTCGGGAGCCAAAGGTTGCCGATCCCTGGTTTAAACCATTAACCATGGAGGCACAGGTTACAGTAGATTGAAGTGAACCCTCTTTGAATTTGGAACGCGATTTTTCTTCATGAGTTTCATAAGTTATGAAATTTATGCAACAGTTAGCTACCGGTTGTTTGTTTTTTTCGATTTTCAAGAAAATGAGCAAAGTAATACACAAATGTGAACAAATACGATTTATTAAAAAGAATACATAAAAAAATGAACTTAATTTCTACAGTCTTCAAATCAACAATAAATAGTTAAACATTTATTATATTTTAACTTATATCGTAATTTTAGCTAATCAAATATTTTTCTATGCTGCCTGTGGAATCTTCGGAGCCGTGACAGTCAAGACGCCATCGGAAGACATTGCAGAAGTCACGCCCTCCATAGCTACTTTGCCTGGGAAGTTGAAGCGTCGACAGAAGCTTTTCATGGACTTGAAGTCGTCTTCTTCCTTTTCCACTCGACCTTCCACCACCACCTGATTGTCTTCCACTCTAACCTTAACGTCTCCACTCTTGAAGTCATGAACATCCAGAACAACCTGTATATAGAATCAATGAAGAGTATTTGTTTTCCCTTGTTTTTCTTTTCCATTTAATGAATATCTAATTAATCTGTTTGCGAGACCAAGATCATTTCTGAGAAAAAAAAAAATCCTTACCTTCAATGTGATTTTTTTTGTTTTTTTTTTTTTTTTGTAACGATTGTTTCTTCTATTCATGCATAAGATTATAGAATTGGTGTTTTTTGCGGTTCCCATTGTTTTTTATACTAAAACTAACCTTGTGACTCTGATCAGTCATTCACGGATTTGCCTTCTTCCCACGTATCCAGGATTTGGTCGATGGCTGTCTCAAAGTGCTGCTGAATAATCCTCGAAGAAAGAATCATGTAAGAAAAATCCCTTCTCAACGATGGGGAGAAGTGAATCCTCTTTGGGGAGTCCTGGTTTCCATCTGGACGCGCCAGGGATACTTGCGCCAATGACGTCATATCAAACTTCTAAGCCTCAATTTAAGATGAATGCATACGATACAATCATATGGTAAAGCTTTAGTACTAACTATGCGTTTTTTTTATATAGTCATCATATACAGGGGCATAATTTAAATATAGACACAAAAAGATATATATTATATATACACGGAAACACACATAAACAAACATACGTTTTGTAAAGTAATGGCTTACTCTACGCTTTGCATTGGAAATCATTAACAAAAACAGCTAATGAAAAATGTTTTATTATGCTGCTTGTGGAATCATCTATATTGGCCATCCTTTTTAATCACACAAAACACCACACACTAAAAGATACATGTGTAAAGACTAAGTATAAGTACAAAACACAACACGCGTGCGCAACATATAAAATATATATATTTATTATTTGTTATTTATATGTACTATGTATTATAAGTTAAGTTTCCCTTGCACACAGCGCTTGGTAGGCGATTGTTTCCATTGGTAAATTAATATTGAAAAATAAATCACGAAACACAGGTCACAGCAATCGGAAGAATTGCATTGGTAGTTTTCTGAAGTTCCAACGAGAACTATTTCCTAGGAAAGAAATGCACCAATAACAATCGGAAAAGGTAGCAACGATTTTTTTATTATCTAAAATAAACAACTTCATTTAGCATTCCTTGTCTTTAGGATTGGTTTATAATTTAGCTAATGAAATGTTTTCTTATGCTGCCTGTGGAATCTTCGGAGCCGTGACAGTCAAGACGCCAATCGAAGACATTGCAGAAGTCACGCCCTCCCTAGCTACTTTGCCTGGGAAGTTGAACGTCGACAGAAGCTTTTCATGGCTTGAAGTCGTCTTCCTTCCTTTCCACTCGACCTTCACCACCCCTGATTGTCTTCCACTCTAACCTAACGTCTTCCACTCTTGAAGTCATGAACATCCAGCAACAACCGTATATAGAATCAATGACGGAGTATTTGTTTTCCCTTGTTTTTCTTTTCCATTTAATGAATATCTAATTAATCTGTTTGCGAGACCAAGATCATTTCTGAGAAAAAAAAAATCCTTACCTTCAATGTGATTTTTTTTTTTTTTTTTTTTTTTTTTGTAACGATTGTTTCTTCTATTCATGCATAAGATTATTAGAATTGGTGTTTTTTGCGGTTCCCATTGTTTTTTATACTAAAACTAACCTTGTGACTCTGATCAGATCATTCACGGATTTGCCTTCTTCCCACGTATCCAGGATTTGGTCGATGGCTGTCTCAAAGTGCTGCTGAATATCCTCGAAGAAAGAATCATGTAAGAAAAATCCCTTCTCAACGATGGGGAGAAGTGAATCCTCTTTGGGAGATTCTGGTTTCTGTTCAATACGAGTGCTAGTATTTTTGTTCTCCATATTTCTCTTGGAAAGGTAGATAGAGCTACAGCTTGCTCTGTTCTCTCAAGGAGTGTTGTTTATATTGTGTCTAGCAAGAGGCGGCTGCTGATGCTTTTATGTGGCGCGAGTTGGGTGTGCGCCCACTTTCCACCTCCATCTGGACGCGTCAGGGAATACTTGGCAATGACTTCATATGAAACTTCTAGCTCTCAATTTAAGATGAATGCATACGATACAATCATATGGTAAAAGCTTTATTACTAGCTATGCGTTTTTTTTTATATATTCCATCATCTACAGGGGCATCATTTAAATATAGACACAAAAAGATATATATTATATATACACGGAAACACACATACACAAACATACTTTTTGTAAATTAATGGCTTCCATCTACGCTTTGCCTTGGAAATATACAAAAACAGCTAATGAAATGTTTTCTTATGCTGCTTGTGGAATCATCTATATGGCCATCCTTTTTAAATCACACAAACACACACACACTAAAATATACATGTGTACAGATAAGTATAAGTACAAACACACACACGCGTGCGCACATATAAATATATATATATTTATTTATTTGTTTATTTATATGTATATGTATATATAAGTATAAGTTTCCTCTTGCACAAAGCGCTTGGTAGACGATTGTTCCATTTTAATTAATATTGAAAAATAATCACCGAAACACAGGTCACAGCAATCGGAAGAATTGCATTGGTATTTTTTCTGAAAGTTTCCAAGGACTATTTCTTATGAAAGAAATGCAACAATAACAATCGGAAAAGGTAAGCAAACGATTTTTTTATTATCTAAAATAAACAATTAATTTAGCATTCCTTGTCTTTAGGATTAGGTTATAATTTCAGCTAATGAAATGTTTTCTTATGCTGCCTGTGGAATCATCTATATGGCCATCCTAACACGTACTCTATAAATATACATGTCTTTAAGTACAAACAAACACACACGCGCGCGCATATAAATATATTCATTTATTTGTTTGTTTATCTATAAGTATATGTATATATTATATATACATATGTATGTGTATATACGTATATATTATATATACATGTGTATGTGTATTTATGTATATATATGTGTGTCTACATAAATATAACTGTGAAAAGATTATATGTATATATATTTGTGTATCTGTATATAATATATATAATAATGACACATATTTCCTTATACATGTCAAGTATTTCCTGCATGGGTAATTGACAAAAACTACCCACTGATTTATTTGTTCATGTGACGCTAGGAGCAAAATGGAGAACAAAAATAATGTGAAAATGGATACTACCGAACACAAAGAGGATTCACTTCTCATGTGATCCTAACAACTAACCTGTAATGCTTTTAAACGTACATGTATCCTAAAAGGGTTATTCAAGGTTGTGTCTTATGTTGTAGATGAAGCGCTCGATAGACCAATATTAGTTTTTAATCGATTTTCGAAAAAGAATCATGAAAGCACAGGTCACAAATAGTGAACCTTCTTTGCATTTGGCACTTGCACCTTTTCTTCAAGTTTCGAAGAACTCTCTGTTATGCAATTTATGCGACAGTCGAAAAAGGAAGGCAAGTGAAGTCATACACACATGTAAACAATTATAATTTATTTTTAAAAAAGCAAAAGCTTTATTCATTCAAACATTATCCTAAAGAAAAAATAAAGTATTACTTAAAGTACATTTAAAATTAGATTACAATTTCAGAAAATGGAATATGATTTCGGAGCCGTGACAGTTAAGACGCCATCGGAAGACATTGCGGAAGTCACGGCCTCCATGTTCACTTTGCCTGGGAAGTTGAAACGTCGATAGAAGCTTTTCATGGACTTGAAGTCGTCCTCTTCCTTTTCCACTCGACCTTCCACCACCACCTGATTCTCTTCCACTCTAACCTTAACATCTCCACTCTTGAAGTCATGAACATCCAGTACAACCTGTATATAGAGTCAATGAAGAGTATTTGATTTCCCTGGTTTTCTTCATTTTCATTTTAATGACTATCTAAATAACCTGCGTGACCTAGATCATTTTTTATAATACTAACCTTTAATTTGAATAGATTTTTTTTTTTTTTTTTTTTTTTTTTTTTTTTTTTTTTTTAATCTTATTCTTGCACTCATTTTTTTAATGATTTCTTTTTTTCATGTATATGTATGAATATTTGTGATCCACGTGACTTTCAAATGGTAAAACTAACCTTGTGTTTCTGATCGTCTTCGCTGAAGGCCATGACTTGGTTCTCTTGCTGCAAATTGCGCTCTCTTACACGTCTGTAGCTACTCATCAGATCACTCACGGATTTGCCTTCTCCCCAAGTATCAAGGACTTGGTCGATGGCTGCCTCAAAGTGCTTCCGAATATCCTCGAAGAAGGAATCGTGGAAGAAAAGTCCCTTCTCAACGATGGGGAGAAGTGAATCCTCTTTGCATTTAGATTCTTCCGGTTTCGGTTCAGTAAGGGTGGTAGCATTTTTGTTCTCCATTTTTCTCTAGCGTAAGTCTCGTGGAAATGTCGATTAAGCTATAGCTTGCTCTGTTCTCTCACGGAGTGTTGTTTCTGTTGTGTCTATCAGGAGGCGGCTGCTGATGCTTTTATGTGGCGTGAGTTGGCTGTGTGCCCAATGTCCACCTTTGTTTGGACTCAGGATGTTTGGCAACATCTTGAATTGAAATTTCTTGAAACTTCCAGATTTTAACAAAGTAATTAAGGTGAATACATACGATGCAACCATGTGGTAAATACTTCAATACTAATTATGCGTCGTTATACATATTTCATTTATATACAGAATATATATACACATACATACATATGTATATATATATTTACGCACACTTCTATATAAATATGTATATCCATATATGGATATACATACATATATACAAACACATGCAGATACGTGTACACTTATATTATCCTTACACACATATATATGTACGTATGTATATATATAAATAAATATATTTACTATTTGTGTATATATGTAATATGTTTTTATTTTCTACTTCAAATATTACCTACAAAATCAACAGCTACCATGTACACTTTGTCTGGGTAATTTACGAAATATTTATGCATGTGTGTGTATATGTATGTATATCAATACGTGGGTGTATATATATGTATATGCTTATGTATATATATATATTTGTGTATATATATATATATAATTTTTGTGTCGCAATCTATGCGACATAAAAACAATCCATGCTTTTTCGATAAGTTCGCGAGGAATTCATATGTATATAAAATATGCAGTATATTTATATTATAAATATATATTTGTATGCATATATGTATATGTATCAATAAAAATATAGGTATGTATATACATATATTTTGAATATAACATACATATAATCATAACATAACATATGTATATATATCATTTCAAGTGTGTCTTGTAGCAGCGTGCACACACAGTACTATTCTAATAAATAAATCCAAAATTATTAATTCATCATCGGATATCAAGCTTTACTTTTTCGCAGTATCTGTGACGAAAATAACTAGAAAGAGTGTCACGGTGGCTAGTCGCTGAAACAGCAGAGCTGCTTGACTGAGGCTTCTCCAGCGCTTGGGTATGCTTCATACTCGTCTACATCTCATTGTACCCATAATTCAAACCTTGATCAAAGTAACGAAATGCGATACACATTCTCCCTTTCTCCCTCTTATTTTTTTTTTTTTTACTTTGTTTCTTTGCTCCTTCGAGTCACGTGGTGTGCCATAGAAAGCCCTCTGCGTGCCAAGTCTGGCTCGGGAGCCAAAGGTTGCCGATCCCTGATTTAAACCGGTAAACATGGAAGCACAGGTTACACTAGTTAGAAGTGAACCCTCTTTGTATTTGGAATGCATTTTCTGCATGAGTTTCGAAGAACTATCTGTTATGAAACTTATGCAACAGTTAGCAACCGATGTTTTTTTTTCGATTATTTTCAAGAAAATACACAAATGTAAACAAATACGATTTATTAAAAGGAATACATAAATAAATGAACTTCATTTCTACAGTCTGCAAATCAACAATAAATAGTTAAACATTTATTATATTTTAACTTATATCGTAACTTTAGCTCATTAAATATTTTTCTATGCTGCCTGTGGAATCTTCGGAGCCGTGATAGTCAAGACGCCATCAGAAGACATTGCAGAAATCACGGCCTCCATGTTCACTTTGCCTGGGAAGTTGAAGCGTCGACAAAAGCTTTTCATGGACTTGAAGTCGTCCTCTTTCTTTTCCACTCGACCTTCCACCACCACCTGATTGTCTTCCACTCTAACCTTAACGTCTCCACTCTTGAAGTCATGAACATCCAGCACAACCTGTATATAAAATCAGTGAAGAGTATTTGTTTTCCCTTGTTTTTCTCTTTCTTTTTCTTTTTAATGAATATCTAAATAATCTGTTTGCGTGACTTAGCTCATTTCTGAAAAAAAAATCCTTACCTTCAATTTGAGTTTTTCTTTTTTTAACGATTGTTTCTTCTATTCATTCATATGATTATTATAATTGGTGTTTTGCGATCTACATTATTCTTAGATACTAAAACTAACCTTGTGATTCTGGTCGTCTTCGCTGAAGGCCATGACTTGGTTCTCTTGCTGCAAATTACGCTCTTTTACACGTCTGTAGCTACTCATCAGATCACTCACGGATTTCCCTTCTCCCCACGTATCCAGGATTTGGTCGATGGCTGTCTCAAAGTGCTTCTGAATATCCTCGAAGAAGGAATCATGGAAGAAAAGTCCCTTCTCAACGATGGGGAGAAGTGAATCCTCTTTGGGAGATTCTGGTTTGTGTTCATTAAGAGTGCTAGTATTTTTGTTTTCCATTTTTCTCTAGCTTTTATAACTTTAATAAGTTAGAGTACGTCTTCTGGAAATGTGGATAAAGCTACAGCTTGCTCTGTTCTCTCAAAGAGTGTTGTTTATATTGTGTCTAGTAAGAGGCGGCTACTGATGCTTTTATGTGGCGCGAGTTGGGTGTGCGCCCACTTTCCACCTCCATCTGGACGCGTCCCGGAATACTTGGCAAAAACTTCATATGAAACTTCTTGAAACTTCCAGCTCTCAATTTACAATGAATGCATACGATACATTCATATGGTAAAAGCTTTATTATATACATATGTGTGTATATAGATATATACAAATACGCACACATGCACAAACATACTTTGTATGTGTGTCTGTGTGTGTGTGTGTGTGTGTAAATTAATAGCTTTCATGTACACTTTGCCTCGTAAATATACAAAAAACTAATTTCATTAATTGCTCATATAAACCTGACAACTAACCCTTTAATACGTTATCATTTGTTATTTCTTAAAGGGTCACTCAGAGGGATGTAAGTTTCCTCTTGCACAAAGCGCTTGGTAGACGATTGTTCCATTTTAATTAATATCATTGAAAAGTAATCTTAGAATCACAGGTCACAGCAATAGGAAGAAGTGAATCCTCTTTGCATTTAGTACTTTTTCTGAAAGTTTCAAGGGACTATCTATAGTGAAAGCCATGCAACAATAACAATCGGAAAAGGAAGGCAAACGATTTTTTTTTTCATATCTAAAACAATAATAAATCATTTTAGCATTCATTGTCACTAAGATATGATTATAATTTCAGGTAATGAAATGTTTTCTTATGCTGCTAGTGGAATCATCTATATGGCCATCCTATGTAGAGATACACACAAACACACACACACACACTATAATATACATGTGTACAGATAAGTATAAGTACAAACACACGCGCGCGCACATATAAATATATATATACACATTTATTTATTTTTTATTCATATGTATATGTATATATGTATGTATTATATATACATATGTATATATGTATGTGTATATGTATATATGTGTGTGTCTACGTATATGAATAACTGTGTGAAAAGACAATATGTATATACATTTGTGTATATGTATATAATGTATGTAATTGTAACATACATATTTCCTTATACATATCAAGTATTTCCTTCATGGGTAAGTGACAAAAACTATCCATTGATTTATTTGTTCATGTGATCCTAACAACTAACCTGTAATGCTTTTAAACGTACATGTATCCTAAAAGGGTTAATCAGGGTTATGTCCTATGTTGTACATAAAGCGCTCGCTAGACCAATATTAGTTTTTACTAGTGTTTCGAAAAAGAATCATGGAAGCACTGGTCACAAATATTGAACCCTCTTTGCATTTGGCACTTGCGCCTTTTCTTCATGAGTTTCGAAGAACCCTCTGTTATGCAATTTATGCGACAGTCGATTTTCTTTTTCTTTTTCTTTATCATTTCGATAAGTTCACGAAAAGGGAAGGTAGATAAAATCATACACACATGTAAATAAGTATAATTTATTTTAAAAATAGCAAAAGCTTTATTCACTTTAACATTATCCTAAAGAAAAATATATTGTTACTTAAACGTACATTTAAAATTAGATTACAATTTCAGATAATGGATTATGATTTCCTATGCTGCCTGTGGAATCTTCGGAGCCGTGATAGTCAAAACGCCATCGGAAGACATTGCGGAAGTCACGGCCTCCATGTTCACTTTGCCTGGGAAGTTGAAACGTCGATAGAAGCTTTTCGTGGACTTGAAGTCGTTTTCTTCCTTTTCCACTCGACCTTCCACCACCACCTGATTGTCTTCCACTTTAACCTTAACGTCTCCACTCTTGAAGTCATGAACATCCAGTACAACCTGTATATAGAATCAATTAAGACTATTTTTCTTATGTTTTCCTTATATCTAAATAATATCTTTCCGTGGCCTAGATCATTTCTGAGAAAAAATCAATTTTAATAGTTTTTAACGATTCTTTCTTTTGTGTTTGTGGATATTTGCGATCCACGTGATTTTTAGATAGTAAAACTAACCTTGTGACTCTGGTCGTCTTCGCTGAAGGCCATGACTTGGTTCTCTTGCTGCAAATTGCGCTCTCTTACACGTCTGTAGCTACTCATCAGATCACTCACGGATTTCCCTTCTTCCCATGTATTCAGAATTTGGTCGATGGCTGTCTCAAAGTGCTTCCGAATATCCTCGAAGAAGGAATCATGGAAGAAAAGTCCCTTCTCAACGATGGGGAGAAGTGAATCCTCTTTGGGAGATTCTGCTTTCTGTTCATTAAGAGTGCTAGTATTTTTGTTCTCCATATTTCTCTAGCTTTTATCACTTTAATAAAGTAGAGAAAGTCTTGTAGAAATGTAGACAAAGCTACAGCTTGCTTTGTTCTCTCAAGGAGTGTTGTTTATATTGTGTCTAGCAAGAGGCGGCTGCTGCTGCTTTTATGTGGCGCGAGTTGGGTGTGCGCCCACTTTCCACCTCCATCTAGACGCGTCACGGAATACTTGGCAACAACTTCATATGAAACTTCTTGAAACTTCTAGATCTCAATTTAAAATGAATGCATACGATACAGTCATACAGTATAATAATATAGAGATATATTATATACAAATACGCACACATGCACAAACATACTTTGCGTGTGTATAAGGACAATGTATGTGTACATATACTGTACAAATCTACATATATGTTTAAAGGGACTATATATATGCACACATGTGATTGTGTATGTATATATATATGAATTTTCTATACATATCTATATATGCGCGTGAGTGTACTTATACACACACACAATGTATATACATATGTATATATTATATATAGATAATATATACATAAATGTGTGTGCGTATATATATATACTTATATATGTATGTATATATACATATGGATGTATGTCTATTTACATATATATCTACTTTGTATGTCTGCCTGTGCTCATATTACTTATATATCCTGCAAAATTAATAGCTTCCATGTACACTTTGCTTCGGATATATACAAAAAACAGTGATTTGATTAATTGTTCATAAATCTGACAACTAACCTTTTAACATGTTATCATTTATTATTTCTTAAAGGCTCATTCAGAGAGATGTAAGTTTCCTCTTGCACAAAGCACTTGGTAGACGATTGTTCCATTTTAATTGATATTGAAAAATAATCATGGAAACACAGGTCACAGCAATCGGAAGAAGTGAACTCTCTTTGTATTAGTATTTTTTCTGAAAGTTTCGAAGGACTATCTCTTATGAAAGAAATGCAAACGATTTCTTTTATTATTATCTAAAATAAACAATCACTTTAGCATTCATTGTCTTTAAGATTATATTATAATTTCAGCTAATGAAATTTTTTCTTATGTTGCCTGTGGAATCATCTATATAGCCATCCTATGTATAGACATACACAAACACATACACTATAAATATACATGTCTATAAGTACAAACACACGCGCGCGCATATAAATATTTTCATTTATTTATTTGTCTGTTTTATACATTATATATACATATGTATGTGTATATATGTATATAAGTATATATCATATATATATATATGTATGTGTAAATATGTATGTGTGTGTGTGTCTACATAAATATAAGTGTGTGAAAAGACTATATGTATATATATATATTTGTGTATCTGTATATAATATATATAATAATGACATACATATATATCCTTATACATGTCAAGTATTTCCTACATGGGTAATTGACATAAACTACCCATTGATTTATTAGTTCATGTGATCCTAACAACTAACCTGTAATGCCTTTAAACGTACATGTCTCCTAAAAGGATTATTCAAGGTTGTGTCTTATGTTGTACATGAAGCGCACGGTAGACCAATATTAGTTATTAGTTTTTTTTTTTTTTTTTTTTTTTTTTAAGAATCATGGAAGCACAGGTCACAAATAGTGAACCCTCTTTGCATTTGGCACTTGCACCTTTTCTTCAAGAGTTTCAAAGAACCATCTGTTATGCAATTTAAGCGACAATAGATTTTCTTTTTTTCGATAAGTTCGCGAAAAAGGAAGGCAAGTAAAGTCATATACACATGTAAACAAGTATAATTCATTTTAAAAATAGCAAAAGCTTTATTCATTTTAACATTATCCTACAGAAAAATATATTATTACTTAAACGTACATTTAAAATTAGATTACAATTTCAGATTGTGGAATATGATTTCCTATGCTGCCTGTGGAATCTTCGGAGCCGTGACAGTCAAGACGCCATCGGAAGATATTGCAGAAGTCACGCCCTCCATAGCCACTTTGCCTGGGAAGTTGAAACGTCGACAGAAGCTTTTCATGGACTTGAAGTCGTCCTCTTCCTTTTCCACTCGACCTTCCACCACGACCTGATTGTCTTCCACTCTAACCTTAACGTCTCCACTCTTGAAGTCATGAACATCCAGCACAACCTGTATATAGAATCAATGAAGAGTATTTGTTTTCCCTTGTTTTTCTTTTCATTTTCATTTAAATAATCTCTGTGACCTAGATAATTTCTGAAAAAATCCTTACCGTCAATTTGATTTTTTTTAACGATTATTTCTTCTATTTATGCATATGATTATTAGAATTGGTATTTTGCGATCTGCATTGTTTTCAGATACTTAAGCTAACCTTGTGATTCTGGTCGTCTTCGCTGAAGGCCATGACTTGGTTCTCTTGCTGCAAATTACGCTCTTTTACACGTCTGTAGCTACTCATCAGATCACTCACGGATTTCCCTTCTTCCCATGTATCCAGAATTTGGTCGATGGCTGTCTCAAAGTGCTTCCGAATATCCTCGAAGAAGGAATCATGGAAGAAAAGTCCCTTCTCAACGATGGGGAGAAGTGAATCCTCTTTGGGAGATTCTGCTTTCTGTTCATTAAGAGTGCTAGTATTTTTGTTCTCCATATTTCTCTTGCTTTTATCACTTTAATAAAGGAGAGTACGTCTTGTGGAAATGTAGATAAAGCTACAGCTTGCTCTGTTCTCTCAAAGTGTAGTTTATATTGTGTCTAGCAAGAGGCGGCTGCTAATGCTTTTATGTGGCGCGAGTTGGGTGTGCGCCCACTTTCCACCTCTCTGGCCGCGTCACGGAATACTTGGCAACAACTTCATTTGGAATTTCTTGAAACTTCTAGCTCTCAATTTAAAATTAATGCATACGATACAATCATATGATAAAAGCTTTATTACTAACTATGCGTATTTTTATTTATATATTCTTTCATCTACAGGGGCATCATTTACATATAGACACAAAAAGATGTACATATTGTTTATATACATCAAACACATACACATACATGTATATATAGAGATATATTATATACAAATACGCTCACACATACACACATACTTTGTATGTATAAGGACAATGTATGTTTACATATAGTGTATGTTTATCTGTATCTACATATATCTACATATGTGCAAAGAGACTATATACGTGCACACATACGATTGTGTATGTATGAATGTCTGTATACATATATATACATATATATGTGTGTGTGCGTGAGTGTACTTATACACACACACGTATATGTTTTCATATATTTATATACAAAAACACAAACACACATATAAATATATACAGCAGCGTGTTCACCACACACATATATGTATATATTATATACATGTGTGTGTATATAATATACATATATGTGTGTCTGTGTGTATATAAATGCATATAAACATATACAAATATATGTATGTATATACAAATGTATATATTATATATATATAATATATGCAGAGATGTGCATTTGTGTGCGTATATATATATATATATGCATGTATATATATGGATGTATGTCTATTTACATATATATCTACATAGTATATCTTCCTGTGTCCATATCATTTAATATATTTCCTGCAAAATTAATAGCTACCATGTACACTTTGTCTCGGAAACATACAAAAAACAGTAATTTGATTAATTGCTCATATAAACCTGACAATTAACTCTTTAATACGTTATCATTTGTTATTTCTTAAAGGGTCACTCAGAGGGATGTAAGTTTCCTCTTGCACAAAGCGCTTGGTAGACGATTGTTCCATTTTGATTGATATTGAAAAATAATCATAGAATCACAGGTCAAAGCAATCGGAAGAAGTGAACTCTCTTTCCATTTGGTACTTTATTTTTTTCTGAAAGTTTCGAGGGAATATCTCTTAAGAAAGCCATTCAACAGTAACAATCGAAAAAGGAAGGCAAAAAAAAAGTTTTTTTTACTTCATTACAATAACAACGATAAACAATCACTTTAACATTCATTGCCTTTAAGATTAGATTATAATTTCAGCTAATGAAATGTTTTTTTTATACTGAAATCGTCCATCATCATTTATATATGTAAAGACATACAAACACATACACCACAAATATACATGTGTACAGATAACTATAAATGCAAACACACACACACACGTGTGTGTGTATGTATGTATGTATATAAATACATTTTTTATTTTTATATATATGTGTATGTATGCATGTATATATATGTATATATATACATGTGTATGTATCAATATGAATATATATACAAATATAATTATAGCATAACACATATATATAATTGTAACATGGCATATATATATATATACATATAATTATAACATGACATATATATATAATTATAACATATATATATATATATATATATATATATATATATATGTATATATATATATAATCACAACACATTTCTTCAGTAGCAAGCATCCAGTGACTAGTTATTTATTTATCCATGACTGAAATTATCTGATATCAAGCTTTGCTTTTTCGCTGTAGCCATGACGAAAATAATTAGAGTGTCACTCATGGCGACTAGTCACTGAAACAGCAGTGCTGCATTACTGAGGTGGCACCAACGCTTGGGTATGTCTCATACTCGTCTAAATCTCGTTGACCCAAACTTACCTTATCGCGGTTACGAAACATTTTCGTTTTAATTCATTATATAATTATCTCTCTCATTTTCTGTTATTCTGTTGTTGTTGTTTTTTTTCTTTATTCCTTCGAATCACGCGGTGTACTATACACAAGCATTGTGTGCGACAAGTCTGGTTCGCGAGCCAGAGGTTGCCGACCCCCGAATTAAACCATTAACCATGGAAGCACAGGTATAGCACCTTCATTTGTTTAAACCGTTAACCATAGAAGAGCAGATTGCAGTAAGTAAATCCTGTTTGCATTTGGAACGCATTTTTTCAAGAGTTTTGAAGAACTATCTGTTATGAAATCAACAGTAAGCAACCGATGGTGATTCTTTTCGATAAGCTCGCGGAAGATATTATGTATGTATAAATAAATAAAATTAACTAATAAGAATCAATTAATAAACTCAATTTATGCATTATGCACATCAATAATAAAT